CTGCATTGAATTGGTATCAGGATTCTATTAGTAACATAAAGATTCCCAATTAAAAAGCAATGGAACAACACTGGAAAGAGAAAAAAAATAGTATGAAAACAAGAACAATTATTATTGCATCATTGATATTCCAAGCACATACAAAGGGCTAAAGTTTCAGTGACAATAACATACTCACCATCATTTATCTTTTGACCACTTCTTGGTGATGCCAGTAATCTTGAATTATCTGGATAGGAGATCTTAAATGTGGAGAATGTAAACATTCAACCATCTCTAACAGAAGGAGATTAATTCACTTCTTAAAAAGAAGCAATTGTAAAAGGCCAAAAAGGATTTGTAGTATAACTTGATATAAATTCTGTAACATCTGTTCTACCTGGTGAGAGATTTTCCCATCTCATATGGTTGCCATAACAACAAAGAAATACTTCCTAGCCAAATAGATCCCATTTCTAGAGGGAGCCTGACAACTAGGTGGAATGAAAATGGAGATTTTAATCCAAGATAAAGAATGAAAGAGTGGGAAAAGAAGATCAAAGGGAAAAATGTTTGGAAGAAGAAAATTTTGGAAGTCAGAAAACCAGGAGTAAAGCATTTTAGAAAGGATTGCAGAGGAGAATAGAAGACCCTGGAAGGAAATGAATCAAGAACACAAGACAGAGTAATAAGTGACAGAAGAGAACAAAATGCATAGGAAGAGTAGAGAGACGAAGAAGACAGTGAGGAAATATAATTCATATATTCCCGTATTTTTCTAATAGAAGCATTTGGTGTTGATGGTAAGCTTAGCCTATTGATATTCTAATTTAATGGCATTTGGACTTCAAAGTTGCATAAGAGAAAGAACATTAACAATTTTGAACTCTAGTGTTGGAGAAGATTCTGAAAATACCATAGATAGCCAAGAAAATTTTTAAAAATTTTCAATCTAGCGACTTTAAGATTTGTGGACTTCAACTCACAGAATTTTGCAGCCAACATGCAGGCAGGAGAATTATGGGAGTTGATAACTTAAAGTATCTGAAATTGAGAAAAACTGAAATAGATCATAGAACAAATCAAAACCATTCTCAGACACAAAGAAGACACAAATAACCAGACTCAAGATATCTAAACCACTAAAGTCTGTAACACTGGGGAAACTAGAAGGAAAGAAAAGGAGAAGACAACTTGCATTTAGTGGATGGACTCAATTACAGTGGCAAGTATTGCACGATTGGAAGATCTCAAGGACCAAATTAGGGACAGATTATCCTGGAGAAAAACTATGTAGCTACTAAAAGTCAGTGTCGACACGACAGCACATAATGAATCAACTCAATGAGAAATGCTGGGAAAGTATCTCCAAATTAAGTTTTAATAAGATCTGAATGTCAATAGCTGGGAAGTCACCCAGAGTTCAATATTAGATGGGAGGCTATAAAAATGCTTTAAATAAAGAAAGGGTTTTAAAACTCATATTTTTCTATAATCATTGAACATAAAAAAGATGTTAAGACTTTAGAAAGAGTACAGAGAAGAGCAACAAAGATGATTAGAGGTCTGGAGGCTAAAACATATAAAGAACAGCTGCTGGAATTGGGTATGTCTAGTTTAATGAAGAGAAGGACGAGGGGGGACATGATAGCAGTGTTCCAATATCTGAGGGTCTGCCACAAAGAAGAGGGAGTCAAGCTATTTTCCAGGGCACCTGAAGGCAGGACAAGAAGCAATGGATAGAAACTAACCAAAGAGAGAAGCAACCTAGAACTAAGGAGAAATTTCCTGACAGAACAATTAATCAATGGAACAACCTGCCTCCAGAAGCGGTGAATGCTCCAACACTGGAAGTTTTTAAGAAGAGACTAGACAACAGGGGGTTGGACCAGATGGCCTCCAAGGTCCCTTCCAACTATGTTGTTGTTGTTGTTGTTGTTATAAAAGAGAATAACAAGATTGGAAGGGATCTTGGAGATTTTCTAATCCAACCAACTGCTTGAACAGAAAACCCTATACCCGTGGTGGCAAACCTATGGCACACGTGCCACAGGTGGCACGCAGAGTCCTCTCTGTGGGCACGTGCGCCGTTGCCCTAGTCCCAGGCCTTCAGCTGGGTTTTATAAAACCTTTTTGCTTTAGGCCTCCGCTGTGTGCAAAAAAAAAAGTTCAATCAATCAATTTTAACTTGCAGGGGAAAAAAAAGATCTCGCAAAGTTGGAATTGATTGATTGAACTTTTTAGTCCCTCCCATTCTGCCATTATCACCACAGCCATGCCCACCCAATGGGCCATGCCCACCAAATTGGCCACACCCATCCAATGGGCCATGCCCACCCAACACCCGACGATACATAACTGGGTTTTGGGTTGCAGTTTGGGCACTCTAAAAAGTTCGCCATCACTTCCCTATACCATTTCAGACAAATGGTTGTCCAATCTCTTCTTGAAAACATGGAGCACCTGTAAATTCTGGAGGCAAGCTGTTTTATTGATTAATTGTTATTATTTTCAGGAAATTTCTCCTTAATTCTCTACTAATTCTACTTTTGTGGTTCTTCTCTGTACTCTTTTTAGTATCTCAACATTTTTTTTATATCATGCTGACCAAAACTGGATGCAATTTTCCAACTGATAGCATTACTATCACTTCACATGATCAATATTATCCCTCTGTTGATGCAGTCAAGGACTGCCATGGCTTTTGTGGCAGCTGCACCACACTGCTGGTTCTTACTTAAATGTTTGTCCACTTGGATTCCTAGATCCTTCTTAATATTACAATTATTTTCTCATGATTAATTGCATTTTGTCAAATAAGGCCCAGGGTTCAAATTTGTCAAGTTCCTTCTTTATCTTGAATCTATCTTTTAAAGTTTTGGCTATTTCCCCTAGCCTCAAAATTCCAGATCAAAATTCCTTTTCCATCCTAAAAGCATTTCAACTAGCCATGAGCTCCCAAACTACTTTCTTTTCTTTCTTTTACTTGCTATATCAGTAATTGCTGGGAGCAGTAGTTGAAATAATGATAAAATATATGAGGGAAAAGTAATTTTTCTTCCCCCTTATTGTCTTCTTTTTCCAAGATCCATCTGTATCAGATATCAGAGTGCAAACCCTAGAGCATCATGTTAAACCTGCAATAGCAAGGAAAGAGATTAATTCAAATTCCACAGTAGAGTTCTTTAAGATATAACTGGTTGGATCAGTGTTTCTCAACCTTAGCAATTCTAACTTGCTAACTAAGGAATTATGGGAGTTCAAGTTCACACATCTTAAAATTTCTAAGGTTGAGAAACACTAGGTTAACTTTTCTGGAGTCTGGTTTAATTTCCGATATCTTCATGGACATCTCTGTGAGGTTTGTTGTCAGTGCAGAAGTGGGTTGCTTTTGTTTTGTCTCTGTGATCCTGGACATTTATATTTTCTTTTCTAAGTTGTTCAATCTATAGCAGTGGTGGCGAACTTATGGCACGGGTGCCAGAGGCGGCACTCGGAGCCTTTTGTGGGCACACGTGCCATTTCCCCAGCCTTGCCTCCACCGTGACCCCCTCCTCTCCAGCAGCTTCCCTGAAGGAGAGTCGCCCATGAGTGTAGCCCACGTGAAGCAGCACAGCCAAGGACATGGCAGCCAGGCAGCATAGACAAGACTTTGCTCTCACACTCCATTGTGCACAGTTGATGCTGCAGGGCGCGTGCAGAGGGCATGACCGCCATAGTGCTGCTGGGTGCCTGGGCGATCTGCGGTGGGCCCTGGATGCAGTAAGTGGCCCTGCGGGCAGGGGGGCGGGGCAGGGGGTGGGGCAGGGGCGGGGGCAGATTTTGGGCACTCGGTCTCTAAAAGGTTCGCCATCACTGATCTATAGTCTCCATCTCTGGAGCTTCCTGGTAATATTCCATGTAAATATTTATGAGAACTGATTGATTTAGCCTTTAAAGAATAGCCAGGATAAATGCCAGTACCTGTTATTATTGTTTAAGATTTGGTGTCCAATTAATATTTCAAAAATTTGGTAACCATTTTTTTTCATTTTTATGTTTATGTGAGTTTTGGTTAATAACTGGGCGTCTTTAATCTTTAGTAAAATAAATTCTCACTTATAATCTGCTGTTATGAAATTCTTAGATAATTGTAAAAGTAATCCTTTAATCTCAATTTTGGGAACTATCTTAAACCAGAATGGACAGTTTTAATCTAAATGGTCTATAGGTTGATTTGGCAAGATGCAAGTTCATATTTTTAAATTGTTTTATGTGCCTTTATTATTTTGCAATCATTTGAGATTGATAAAATGGGTTGTTTAATATATTTTCATTATTGCATATTTCCTTTTTATTGTTTTATACATGTGTCTTGCTTGTGTGTAGGAGGCAGAGTCAGGCCATTCTACAGAGCAATCCTTATGCAAAATCCATTTTCATATTACCATAGTTGTTTTAAGTAATATGATGTTTAAAAATACACAAATGTGTAACAATTAAGAAAGCAGCAAAGCAATAAAGGTAGCATAATATGTGAAACTTCATTTATTATTCTGTGGACTATACACTTGCAGAATTGCATATCGGAATACAAGTATTGTACAAAAATTAAAGCCAAAACGATGTTTTAGAATTCAGACAAGAACACCATCCTTTGAAAAGAATTTAGTGTATTATGTATTGATAACAATGCCATGTTAGACAAAGGATTCCAATTTAATAATACAGAATTGTGCTCACGAGATTTCCTTTTTCTTGTTAATTGGTTACTTTAGCTGATATTGTCTGTAACCATAATGGTGCTATTCTTCCTAATAGTTCCATCTTGCCAGATGATGTCTACTGACATGATGTAGTCCATTTTAATTTTTTTTCATTTTGCGCACATCTTTTAGGATAATACAACTTCCAAACAGGCTAGCATTATTCTTCATTATCTGTGCTGCATGGCTGTGGTTCTTAAATTAATTAGTTTTCTTTTTTTTTTCTTCACTGGAAGTTAAAAGTTTTTTTTTTTTTTGCTTCAATTTATCTACCAGGTACGATTATGTTGAAGTGATTGATGGAGACAGTGCAAATGGGCGAGTGTGGGGAAAGTTTTGTGGCAAAATTGCGCCCCCACCTGTGATATCTACAGGACCATACCTCTTAATCAAGTTTGTCTCTGATTATGAAACTCATGGAGCAGGCTTCTCCATTCGCTATGAAATTTTTAAAAGAGGTGAGCAAGCTGCTTAATCTTGTCATGCTAATTGTTTTTAATATGAAATATTGACAGTAGGATTGTTCAATTTGAAGGTCACTGTTACTTGGAGAGAGGGGAATTAAAAGAACATTTAATGTCAACTTAGTTTCTAAAACATTGCTTTCATAGGACTGTGGAAGTCAATGAATCAAGTCACTAACTTTTGGTCTGTTCTGATACAAATATAATTCTTTTTTGCATTCTTTTTCCATAATAGAAAATTCTATTACTCTGGAAAGCTGTGATCATGATGAATATTACCTATTATTTGCCTGTAATATGTTCACAAGGTTTTGTTACTAATTTGAGCCTTCATGGGTGAAAATCGATTTGGCAACTTTTGAATTTTAAATAAGTAAATCAACAAATTTGGTATTGCATGCATATCTCTAATTTAATAAGCTTTTTAATTTAAAAATGGGACATCAAAACAGTAATAAAGAAAACATCTAAACCTTGTAACATAAGATGAAGAGAAAGAAGTATATTCTTAATTTTATTGCTGATTTACTATTTTGCAAATGTTGTGGTTTCCCAGCTTTTTTTACAGTTAAGTGTTTAATTAAATATTTGTTGAATGCAAAAGTTCAGAATTAAATAATTCATTTAATTTCAGCTTCATTTGAAAGTCCTGCTTAATCGATGCATCTTTTTCTTTTCCTTTAATATGCTGATTTTGTTTTATGTTTTTTAATAATATTCCAAATATTTTCCCCAATATAGTAATCTTTGTTAATTCATTGTGGATTGAGAATGGATGGTATGTGGAATATCAGAATATTTTAAAACATTTGCTGCTAAAAGTCCTAAAAAGAGTGCAATGACACAGGCTTCAAACACCACCTGATTTATTTCAGTGAAGATAGATGAATGCAAGCATTTTTTGTAAACAAAATGCCACATGAATGGGATGTGTGAGGTTTTCTGCTCAGACAAAGACTGGCAAATGGCTTCTGTCCCATGGTCAAATTCTTTTTGAAGTAATTTTGTGCATAAAAACCACAGTCACTTTTGGAATAAGCCTTCTCTTTGGTTGGATGCAGTTTGAAGAAATATTTGACATCTAGGAACTTATTCTAAACAAAACGAGATAGTGAATAAAGTAAAAACAACATTCCATCCTATCCCAAGATGTTAATTTTTATAGAAAGATTTTGCTTCCACGACAAAACATTTTGGTACCTAATAAGTTGGGTAATTAGCACTGTACCAATTAAACAATGATCTTGAAATAATAGAAAATTATTGTCGTTCGGGTTTTAGATTTTGGCTGTGATTTGTTCTCCAAGCTTGTTTCAATATAATTTTTGAACATTTTGTTACCAAACTAGGTAACATCAGCAGCAGGATTTTCTTGTCCTATTCTCCTTAGGTCATGTCTTGTATGCCAGTGTGGTCAGTTGGTCATATGATTGGTTGTTTGTTTGGAGCTATATTTGAATTCTGAGCAACTGATTCTCTTGTTGATTGATCTGTCTAAAGGATATTTTAAGGCCACTGTGCATAAAGATCTAATGAAGGGTCTCCCACTCTAGCAATTTGCAAAAAGTACAATTTGCATTTTCAGTACAGCTTTTTTTCCTTGATATCTTAGTGACACTCCACAGTTCCCTTTATTGATTTCCTTGTATGATGCCTTAAATTTCCTTCTGAAAGGCATTAGTTACATTAAGGCAAAATTATAAATGACAACTTGCACACTCAAAAGTCAGAATGTTTAAAGTTATTGCCCCCAAAGTAATATTAATTCAGGTTTATGCCATGGTATGTCACAGTGAAAATGCTATTTCTATGTTCAGAAATGAAGATGTTCCCATGCACATGTGTGGTCTGAGAATTACAGTTGCTGTAAAACCATTTTGGTTTGGTGGTTAAGTTTAGTGTAGTAGTTAAGACACTAGGCCAGGGATAGGCAACCCAAAACACTCAAAGAGCCACTTGGACCCATTTCCCACCGAAAACAAAACATTGGGAGCTGCAAAACCCTTTTGATATCTAAAATGAAGATAACACTGCATATATCCCTTTTTTACCTTTATTATATGTGTGTGTGTGTGTGTGTGTGTGTATACACACACACATACACACACAAATATATATATATACAAATATATATATATATATATATATATATATATATATATATATATATATACGTTTTCTGAGGTTTTCGCGGGTGTTTGTGTGTAGGTCTTTGGTTGTTCGGGTTTTCTCCTGCGTAAAATTGGAAGTGTCTTGGCGACGTTTCGACGAAGTCCCATTCGTCATCTTCAGGCTGGTGTTTTCAGCTTCGTGCTTCGAGCAGCACATATACATAGATATGTTTTCTGAGGTTTTTGCGGGTATTTGTATGTAGGTCTTTGGTTGTTCGGGTTTTTTCCCGCATAAAATTGGAATCAGACTCGAAATCACTGACATCCTCTGCACCAGCAAGCCACCCAAAAGCAACTTACCCAAAGAGGAACAGACAGCACTACGTAACCTGAAAGAAGACACCAGCATAATAATCCTACCAGCAGACAAGGGCAACGCCACGGTGGTTATGAACACATCTGACTACCAAACCAAATTAACCAACCTACTCCAAGACTCCACATATAAACCCCTAAATACAGATCCCACCACCTACCTGGAAAAAACTACCAGATCCAAAATAAAAGCCTCCCCCATTAGCGAAGAGATCCAGCAAAGAATCATTCCCAGAGAGAAATCATCCAGATGCCCCAAACTCTATGGTCTCCCCAAGATACACAAGGAAGGAACCCCACTCAGACCTATAGTCAGCGCCATAGGCTCACCTCTACAAAACCTAGCCAAATTTCTCGCCAAACAACTACAGCCCTATGCAGAATCCATCACCTCACACATAAAAAACTCATTCCAGTTTATAGAGATCATAAAGAAACAAAACTTACAGCCCAGCGACCTACTCGTGAGCTTCGATGTCATATCCCTCTTCACCCAAGTGCCTATCAGAGAAGCCTTGACAGCTATCCACAACAAATATAACCCCCCCAAACACATCTTAGATCTGACCAACCACTGCCTATCCAACACATACTTCATCTATAATGGACAAAAATACAAACAAACAGAAGGAGCACCCACGGGATCACCCCTCTCACCTGTCATTGCCAACCTCTACATGGAACACTTTGAAACCCAAGCTCTAGAAAAATCTGATCACAAACCCAAACTCTGGCTCAGATAAGTAGACGACACCTTCATAATCTGGCCACATGGGAAAGAAAAACTGGACAACTTCCTCACACACCTCAACAGCCGACACCCCAAAATACAGTTCACCATGGAAACAGAAACTAACAACCAACTTCCTTCCTGGATGTCTTAGTCTACAAGAAATCCAATGGCTCCCTAGGACACACCATCTACCAGAAGAAAACACACACAAACCGCTATCTGCACGCTCTCTCACACCACCACCCAGCACAGATCAACTTTGTAGCCAAGACACTCATCTCCAGAACAAAACGCTTAGCTGACAAACAACACCTAAAACCTGAACTACACACTCTCACCAATGTACTAACATCCAATGGATTCCATAGAAATAAGATTACAAACCTAATCCAAAAAGAAACCCCCACTAAAATCCAAGACAAAGAACAAGAAAACGGCAAAGCCCTCATCCCATACATAAAAGGCACCACAGACAGAATCAGTAAGATCCTCCATAAACACAACATCAAAACAGCATTCTGCACAAACAGAAAAATATCTACCATCCTTAGAAACCCCAAAGATAAAACTGAATTAGAAAATCAAGGAGTATACGAAATCCCATGCACCACTTGTCCCACCACATACATCGGACAAACCAACAGAAGAATACGTGCACGCATTGAAGAACATAAGAACTCAATCAAAAAAGAGGAACCAACATCTTCCCTGGTCCAACACCTTAAAGCTACAGGACATGAAATTGACTTTAAAAATACCAGAACCATTGCCAAAAGTGAACATTTTAATAACAGCATAATCAGAGAAGCCATCGAGATAGAAAAACGCCCACACAGCATGAACAAGCGAGATGATACCTCCCGCCTACCAGCCATTTGGAAACCCGCCCTTATTGACAAACGACTCCCTAACACAAAAAATGATACCAGACCCACATTCACAAAAACCACACAGGATGTCACCACCACACATCCACGCAAAAAACAAACCCAAAGCCACACCGATGACGAGGCACGACCACAAACCAGAAGCCAGACCACACCTGCATCATTAGCCAATTTAAACCCCTCCAATCCATACATGAAGCAAACTGACACCCTCCGTGAAGAGGAGGCACGACCACGAACGCGAAGCCAAAAAATAGCAAGGCAGCCCAAAATCTCAAACCCCTCTGCAACTCAGACTAACCTGAGCACAACCAAACAGAACACTCCCCCAGCCAATCAGAGCACAGCCAATCCCCTAACCATTCAGAACACACCTCCACCCAATCAGAACACAGCCAAGCTCCCACCCAATCAGTTCATACCCCCACTGGCAGTTAAAAGGAAGAAACAACTAAGACCACACATTGCTGCTCAAAGCACGAAGCTGAAAACACCAGCCTGAAGATGACGAATGGGAATTTGTCGAAACGTCGCCAAGACACTTCCAATTTTACGCGGGAGAAAACCCGAACAACCAAAGACCTACCTACCTACCTATATATACATCCAGCCGTCTTACTTCTCCTCCCCCTTTCCGGCTGGATGTAACTACAGCCAGGGGACCGCCCTCCCAGTAGACAAACAATCCATCAACCCGTCCCAGATCACCATCATATCGCAGCCAACTCAGAACAACTTACAGGATTACCCGGATGACAGTTGGATAGGAAGGGAAAGTACTAAAGTCAAAAGAGAAGGCTATCGCAAAAAGAACAACCGGGCGGACGATGATTGGGAAAGGAAGGGGAAGTGCACATTACCACTCAAACCTGATGGGGAAGATGGGTTGAGGAATAGAGACAATCTGAACGGTAAGGGATCTACCCCACCCATCCCAGAATCTAAAGAAAGGAAGAGAGACGACGATACACACGTAACTAAGAGGAATAGGAAGAAACAAACCAGTCAAGCGCAGTTGAATCAATTAGGCCCGGTGACGAGATCGAGGAGCCGGGCGCAGACTCTGACTTGCCTATAAAAGACTCTCTCACTTTCTGGAGCTCTAGCCCTGATGATGCCGGCAGGGACGGCGAAAGCTTGGCGCTTTTTAATTAAACTTTTATAGTTTTACTACCCTGGTGTTCATTTTATTTTTTGATATGGATACTCCCAGGGTTCATATTTTTAGCATTATTAACTATATATATATATATATATATATATATATATATATATATATATATATATATATATATATATATATATACACATACATACATACATACATACACACACACACACACACACACACACAGAGTGCTTTTTTTGTAAAAAAAAAAAAAACCTCCGTTCTGGGCATTCTATGAGAAAAAAACCCTGTATACATATGTGTACACACACACACACACACACACACACACACACACACAATAAAGGTAAAAAGGATATATGCAGTGTTATCTTCATTTTAGATCTCAAAAAGGTCTCTCCCTCTCTCTCTTTCTCTCCCCCTCTCCCTCTCTTCTGCTCACCTGGCAAGCTGGCTTTAAGCTGTTCTCCAACAAGCTCAGGTGTAGGCAACCTCGGCTCTTTTATGACTCATGGACTTCAACTCCCAGAATTCCTGAGTCAGCATAGCTGGGCTAGGTAGCTCTCTCCTGCCTTTCCTGCTTCCTGCAGAGATGCAGCAAAGGGAGGAGCCTTGCCTAGTAAGCTTTTTAGCTCCTCGGAGAACACCGTGAGTCCACTTTCTTTTTTTTTTTTTTACACACATACAGACACACAGACACACAGAGACACAGAGACAGAGAGAGAAGCAGGGAAGTGCAGGTGCCTCTCTCTGTCTCTGTCTCTCTCTGCAAATGGCAGAGGAGGCTGGGAGCCGCAGGGGAAGGCTCAAAGAGCCACATGCAGCTCCAGAGCCGCAGGTTGCCGACCTATGCACTAGGCTAAAAACACAGAGGTTCTATTTCCATTTTAGGTACAAAGCTAGCTGAGTGACTTTGAGCCAATCGCTCTTTCTCAGTCCGATTCATCTCACCATGTTATTCTTGTGGGGAAAATAGCAGAAGGAAGGAGGACTTGGTATGTTTGGACTAGCACTGATGGTGTTACCTAGTTGGGTAATGAAATGTCTGCAATAAAACAAGCAAGCTCAGAGAGCACCAAAGACCCCTCATAATTTTACCCTGCCTGGCTATAAAAGGACGTGGGGGCAAAAAACAAACTAAAAAAAGCAGGGGCATACCATAAATATATTGTTGTCAAAGTATCAATGTGGATCTACGAAGATAGCTGTAATTAGATACGATCCAGATTTGTTTTCCTTTACTAAGCTTACAAAAATAGAGCAAAATATATTAAAAACAAATACTGGATGCATCTCTGACACTAAGCAAAAATGAAACAAATATGAACTAATTCTTTTCTCTTATTTGATAACTTTGAATTGATGTGACAGTAGCAAAGTAGGTAGGAGGCAGTATGCTCCGAATTATTTTACACCATTGCATGTTGTGACTTTATTTATAAACATATGCAACAGATTAGATGTCTTTTGAGTCACTACTTTTATCCAGTGGTGGGATTCAGCCGGTTCACACCACTTCAGCAGAACCAGTAGTTATTTTTTTTTTCCCCAGGCCAGTACGGACTTCGGGAAGTGGTATCCACACAGAGAACTGGTTGTTCACATATTTGAATCCCACCACTGCTTTTATCTATGAATAGATAAATATAGCCAGTTAATTAGATTAGCTTTCATTAAACTTTTAATTGTTGGGAGGGAGGGAGGGAAGAAGGAAGGAAGGAAGGAAGGAAGGAAGGAAGGAAGGAAGGAAGGAAGGAAGGAAGGAAGGAAGGAAGGAAGGAAGGAAGGAAGGAAGGAAAGAAGGAAATTTTCTTGCATTCCAGAGAGGGAGAGGGGGAAGAGAGCTATAAAAAAGCATTTCCAACTTGGTAGAATCAAGATATATTAGACTGCAATATCCATCATCCCAGTCTGTATTGTTATGAGACATATCAGATTTATCTTATTTTGAAACTACCTTGGTGTATGAATGGAAATCTGATAGCAAGAAATAGATTTTCTGAAGATTACAGCTGAGAAAGGAAAGATTAATTTTCTAATATATTTGTGAAATTCAGTGTGTGATCCTAGTTTTGGAACAATTTGTTCCAAGTAATATAGTTGATCCCAGGCTTGCAAACCTTTAGAAAGGCAATCAAGACCTGGCTTTTCTCCTAGGCCTTTGAGTTAGGTTGAGTGGAGTTCCAATTGAATAGTTGCAATGTATTTTGGTCCAGTTATCATTTTATGTTTTAGTTGACTTTAATGAATTATAATTTTTATCCTTATATTGTGTTCGTTGTGGAAGGATTTTTCCCCCTCTTGTATGCTGCAAGGTCATGCTGTTGAATTGTATGGCTATATAAATGAGATTGAGTGAATGAGTGAGTAAATGAATGAAGTGAATGAGTGAGTGAGTGAATGAGTGAATGAATGAATGAATTTGCAACATAGCAGGGAATTATCCTGATAGCCATCATATTTGGAAACAGATTCTCATTCTTTCCCATATGGAGACGTTTTTTTCAGACCTCCTTGTTGCCAGTTATAGGAATGGCATCTTCCTGTATACATGTCTGTATCACTGTTGATATGTGAGAATCAATGCTTAGGACAGATGTTTATCTTTTCTGATGTAATTGCATCAGAAGAAGTTACTTTTGCAAAGAAATTAGAAGTCACATGGACAGTGGACATTGCTCATCCATATGGACACTTGTAGGCCTACAATAGAATTAGGCTTTTGTGTAATTGCCTTGCACAATACCGAAATTAGTTAGATTTGATCAACATTGCTAGTAATCAAACAATTTATCATACCTTCACTAACAGCATCACTTTACTGGTGCACCTGTGTCAACACAGCTCAGAATGAATCAGTCACCCTTGATACAAGTACGAATTACCTTTCACATCTAGTTTGTCAAAAAGGCATAGGTCACATCTGGCAGACTTACTGAGCCACTGCTCTAGGAATATGAAACCATTGTTCCATCGACCAAACACCACACTCCCTCTTCTTGCAAAACATTCTGTTTTACCAATAAAGGGCTGTCAACCTGAAGATTTAAAGATTTAAGCTTAAAGGGGCTATAATTATTTCCCTTGAGCTGACAATATTTCTGCAGCTTACGCTTTCATTGTTCCCATATGACATTATCATAATTTTTCCCTCTATTTCAGAACTGGCACAAGTTTATTTTTTCAGTTTGCTCTGGTAGAAATAGAAAAGTGGGCTTCATGTAATATATGGGAATTGCCTTTTAGTACAATTATCAGTACAATATTAGGACCAAATTAGCTGTGTGACTAATACAGGATTAACATGGGGCAATTCTCCAAAAAGAGAATTGGCATAATTTGTTTTCTTGTATAAATTCTTACAGAAGGGAAATGTGTTGTCTCTTTTGTGGTGCAGGACCAGAATGCTCCAGAAATTTCACATCTATGACTGGAATGATCAAATCACCAGGATTCCCTGAAAAATATCCCAACAGTCTTGAATGTACTTACATTATCTTTGCACCAAAGATGTCAGAGATTATCCTGGAATTTGAAAGCTTTGAACTGGAACCAGATACAAATCCACCCGGAGGTGCATTCTGCCGTTACGATCGTTTGGAAGTCTGGGAAGGTTTCCCAGAAGGTAAGATTCCCACCCCCAATAGCTGCCATGATTTTACTGATGCCATGGTTTCTTGTGGGTTTAATCATCAATATAATTAAAATTAGGAGATAAGAGAGTATTTTAAAATTAACCTTGAAATCTGTCCAGATTTCAAAGCATTAGGATTTTATCAGGGACAAAGAAGTCAGACAGAAATATATTGAGTTTCCTGTGGTGTCCATCAAATGAAATGAAATTCTGTTTATAGTTTAATGTCATTAAGTTGACATTCAGCACCCTATGTTGAATATGGTCATGATAAAAGTTTGTAAGGATGCTCACAAAATAATGATATAAAGATACATGGTTAATTCAATTATATATTAGAGAGTGGTACAGCATTTGATCCTGCTAACATAGAATTGTGCTGTAATAGTGATCTTACATCAAATTCTTGCTGATGTGGGCTAAAGAGATAAATGTTATATGTTGTTAGCACTAATGGAGAGACGATATATGGTATTATTCTACTGCTCTTGGTAAGTTTAGATTCTGTGAAGTGTTCCATAGGGAGCTAGTTTTACTCTCAGAAACTGAAGCTGTTGCAAATTGTGGCAGACATTACAGTTTTTTCAAACAATTATATTAGCTACCAACTGGCTATTGAACCAAGATCAAGGTTTTGGTTTTGGCATAAAAGGACCCTAGGAATTTGGGATAGGTCTTTGCAGTCCATCACTGAAACTGATAGGGAGTTTTTCCTCCATGTGCCAATTGTAGCAACTTATGAGTATGTTTGGTCCTGTGGTATCCCTGAAATTTCTGAAATAGTCCTTTCTTGAAGCTTGTGAGGCACTTAGTACTAAATATTTTAAATTTCTTTTGTATTTCTTGTATAAAACCTGGACAAAAGGTTTTGTTTCTGTTTTTGTCTACATATCCCTCCCTCTTTATTGCTGTATATGATTTTCATATTATTTGTATTATAGCTGTTATATTTGTAAGCTGTTTATAGAGATGTTTTTATATAGGAAACAGTGTAAAATATATGCAGTAATATTATATACAATATTATAATCATCCATTATGTCTGAGATGGCTCAGGGGAATTCTATACATTCTTGGTCATTTAAGTACACACACATATACCCAATGTAAAATCCATTCCTCCTGCTGTCCCAGGCCTGGGTTTCCAGAATATTCTGTATGATTCCAGGCACTTTCCTTGTTCACCCTTCATACCTGCCACATCACAAACTATTAATTGCAAGTTGTTGCCAGCATATTGTTCACACTACCCATTCTTTCTCTTTTTCCTTACCACTGTGGATTGGGATTATTTTTAGGAAGCTATTACCACTAGCTGAATGAGTTTAAAATATGATTTAGAATGTAAGCGGTAGGGATCCACTTTCCATCCAATGAGGTAAAAGAGAGGAGAAAATTGGGTCCTTAACCATCATCTATTAAAAACCAAGTGGGGGAGAATACAGGTAAAATCCATAAAACTTTATTAAATTGAGAAATTCATTGTGAATAGCTATTCTGATGGTTGTCTTAGAGGACTTTAAGAGAACTGGAGAAATTCATGGCAGATCAGTGGATATTAGCATTGATGGTTACAATATGTGATTGTCTCCTGAATCATAGGCAACAACATATTCTAAGCAGCATTCCAGGGAAATAAGTCAAAAAGAGTTATTATTTTCTGGTCGATGCTTCTGAGGTACTTGAATGCATCTGATTGACAACTGTCTGGTCAGGCCAAAAGTTTGATTAGATGGGTTTTTAGCCTGATCTGGCAGAACTCTGTTCCTATAGCCCACTTTTTAACGTGGGCTATAGTTTTCTCTTGGTCTCATTGAAATAAAGAATTTGTTTGCATACATACTAAGCAGATTAAGAGCAATAACCCTTGTAAATAGTCTTCGCAAGATTTCTAGAATAAATAATGCCTTAGGATTTCTTCCAAAGATCAAGACTCCTCTTTTTCTATCCCAAATTTAGCTCAGATTAAGAGGCTAGTCTTTTTCTTTTGCTCTTGGGTGAAAAAAAAAAGGGATGGATAATATCCACCTATCCTCAGCTACCCATTTCTCTTTTGGAGCTATTGAAAGACAATTTCAGTTATTAATTGGCATTCTTCAGTTCTGACAACAGAACACAAAATCAAAACTATAAATCAAGATTTTCAGAAAAAAAGGCAGCCCTGCGATATTATTGTCACCAACTCCCTTCATTACTAACTGTCTTGGTAGTATCATTTCAATTTGTAGAGTCACCTTTCTGAATTTTCTCTCTTTGTAATAACTTGCATGCTTGAAATAAATCTATGTATGATGTACTGGTAGCCTTTTTTAGCAACTGCATTCTGGACCAGCAATTCAGTTATTAAGTGGAATAGTCATTAATCCAAATGTGCTTATACTTTTATACAGGACAACATATGTTAACTGACAGTGATGATGACAAAGTGTGAAAAGCATAAATGTACATTTTGTAAAGTTACTTTTTCATCACTGTCATAATTGCAAATATCACTGCCTGAGCAATCACTTGCAGAATAGTTTTATATCTGTAAGAGACATATAAATTATTTAAATAGGAATATGTTTTAAAATAATACACATACATTCTTATCTACGTACAATTTAAATTAATGCACAGGTAGTCCTCGACTTACGACCATTCATTCAGCAGCCATTCAAAAGTTATAATGGCATTGCAAAAAATGACTTACAGCCAGTCCTCACATTTATAAATAACCATCCCCAAAGTCACATTGCCATATTTGGGCAGTTGACAACCACCATGTATTTACAATGATGGTAGCGTCCTGGGATCACATAGTTGCAGAGAACAGAGAAGAGCAACAAAAATGATTAGGAGATTGGAGGCTAAAACATACAAGGAATAGTTGCTGGAATTGGATATGTCTAGTTTAACGAAGTGAAAGACAAGGGGGGACATGATAGCAGTGTTCCAATATCTCAGGGGCTGCCACAAAGAAGAGGGAGTCAAGCTATTCTCCAAAGCGCCTGAAGGCAGGACAAGAAGCAATGGATGGAAACTAATCAAAGAGAGAAGCAACCTAGAACGAAGAAGAAACTTCCTGAAAGTTAGAACAATTAACCAGTGGAACAACCTGCCTTCAGAAGCGGTGAATGCTCCAACACTGGAAGTTTTTAAGAAGAGACTGGACAGCCATTTGTCCAAAATGGTGTAGGGTTTCCTGCCTGAGCAGGGGGTTGGACTCGATGACCTCCAAGGTCCCTTCCAATAAGGGAAGGGCTATCTGATTTTAAACTTGTCAACATGGACAGCATGGTACAACAAAGCTAAAATTAGATTTTACAAATCATTATGTTATATGTGCCACTCTGAGAATATGGAATAAATTCAAATCTAGTTTGAAAAACTAAAAAATCTTTGTGACTCTCATTTCTGGAAGCATTCTATAAACAAGAAATGATAAGCAAGCATAAATGGTTAATATTGTGATAAGCTAGAATTTTTTTATACATCAAACCAAATTAAGATCTATTAAAAGAATATACTTGTCAATGGTTTCCTTATACAGAACTATCAGAAAGATTTAAAGTAGATAAATACTTTAAAGTTTTGAACGAACTAACACTGAATTTGAAACAAAACTGTGTACAAATTACGGACATATATTGCTAAAATGTATAACTTTTGTTGAAATTTGAGACAAAAGAAGATTAAATTAAATTATGTATGATAAAATGGGCTACAAATTTGGTTACAGTACACAAATTGAATAATAAGAAAATATGTGATTGAAAGGGTTAAAATTTACCTTAAGCTCTAATCTTAAAGAGATTTTTTTATAATTTTTTATAAATGATATACTGTTGATATTTGGCACCAGAAAGATTGTCCAGAATGTATAAAGGTACTTCAAATTTATGTGGAAATGTGAACAACAGGATGGGACATTTTATCATATTTCATGAAATGTAATAAAGCCAAACAGTTTTGCTTACAAATATACTCACTAATTCAAAACATTTTAAGGTGAAACCAGAGGCTTTTCTTTTGGAAGTAATGAACAGACAGGAAAAAAAAATCATGAGACTTTGTTTTTATTATATGACCATTGCAGCAAAATTATTATATAAAGTGGAAAAATTCAGCATTATCCACAATGCAGGAATGATAGGTAAGGATAACACCATTTGCAGACATGACTAAACTTCATTGATTAGTGAAAAGACATCTACATTTATTACTAACAGAAAAAGCTATACTTCTTGCATTAAATAAAAAAAAATGAAATGATAAGTTCTGATTTTGATGATTAAGAAAAAAATAGATAATAGAAATAAGAGAACTTTTTTGAAATTATTGAGTAAGATAATTTTATAATCATGCTTATGCTTGTATTTGCTACTAAGAAAATTGGAAGCTATATTTCATTTCATCTTTTGTTACATTTTTTCTTTTGTCTTTGTCTTTCTTCTTTTCCTTTGTTAATTTTTGTCGTTATCTTCTTTTTTCAAACTTTTAATAAAACATTTATATAGTATTTAAGTTGTCCATTGCAACAGCTTTATAACATATATAACTATGCCTTAAATATAATAATTAGCTTCTCTCTGTTGAAAAAAGGTTTATGGTGTGAATACTTGCAGTAATCTTTACTGCAATTGATGGGTGGAAAAAAAGACTAGTTAGAAAAATTATTTGAAATATTTCCAAGAGATTAGTGTCAAGGTTATTTCCCCTAAGGTAGCAATTTTCTGGTTCAAGAGAATGATAGAGCTGAAACTATTATGCTCAAGTATTATAGTTTTCCTAATCTATCTTTGAATTAAAAAAGGTCCTTTATTTAAGCTATAAACATTTTAAAAATATACTTCTGTAGCTATATCCATTATATCATTCAAGGATAATAATAGTTTTGAAATCTGCATTATTTAGCATGCTTAACATATAAATATCACTTTTTAATATGAATTATTATTTAATATTCCACATTAATTTTCCCATTAACTGATGATAATAAATCTACTGGA